TCCTGTGATTATCATGTGTTTATTATGATGTAGCCATTACCTATATATAATTATTCTATGCTTTTAATTGTGGTTATGTGGTTTATTTTGCTTTGTTTTAATGTCAAATTATTTATTTTGTAATATTGAGCTGTACCTTGTATTTTTGTTAAGTGTTCTTTTTTATGTAATTATCAAAGGGTATTATTTCAACTGTAATCGCATATTGTATAGTTTAATTAAATGGTTGTTGTCTGTTTTACATAGGATTACAGGCACTTTTTGGCCAATGCATCTGTGTACTGCAAATTGTATTTAACTTTTAAAATTAACGTTGGCCCGGGTACAAACCCAAAGTAAGGGAGAGGGGTGGGAAGTGTGATATGCAGGCATACCATGTATTTTATACCTTCTTGCTTTAATACAAAATTCTTCTAGGTGCAGTTGCCAAATAACACATGTTCAAGAAATCCGTTAAGTTACTTTTGCTCTAGCTACCCATTGCTTTACGTCATTTCCTCTGAATAACACTTGGTGTACCTATGGGAAGGATAGCTGTACAAACGGTAGGTTTGTCCAATGTGAATCCAGGTGATATACTTAGGTTACACAACCTCTGCTATTTTCTAATGGGAATTATCAGTCACGTGGGTAGCAGTATTTGTCCTGAGAAAGTATGATAATATAGATATTAAGTATATAATGTGATGCTTTCTCAGACTGAATAGAATTGACAGAATATACAGATTTACAACTTGTACAGCTTTCCAGTAAAGGCGATAGTTTTCTGTGCTGAAATTATACACACATATTGTGGTCTGTGTTGTTAAATAAAGATTGTTTTCAGTCTGAATACACTCGTAGCCAGTCTCTTTCTTTGTACATCCTCAGTTTAGGAGAAATTCATATTAACTTCGTAATATTTTCTGGTTAAATCCCTCATTACTTAGAGGGCCTATTTTATTTACTCTTGAGAAAAATTAGTTTTATTAGAAAAAAACCACACATAAAATAGATAAAATAAATTCAATGAATTGTGGTACTGTAAATCAAATGTTAAATACCAGAAGAAATTTAAGAGTGAGACAACTAACTTTTGGACCATTCTGTATTTTGTAATTCTTTCACAGCAAAAGGGTTTCCTTGTTATCAAATATCTTTCTGGCGTCCATTTGGCCGGAAGAAGAATCCTATATTTTGATACTTTCCCGTTTTTTTATTTCCATGTCATATACCATTTTCATAAGTCTTAGCCAGAGGGTTGCTATGTCGTTTGTACATGGTTCTGTTGTTTATTTCATGTATGAAAAACAATTGTACACTCTCTCCAAGAGTCAGGATATTACATTGTCGTAAAACATGATCCACAAGGTGAATTTACCTGTATTTCATGGCTAATACAAACATTTTCATACCGAAGTAAGGTTTAATATTGTTTTAATACCAATTAAAGATGTATAATGGTTTCTCAGACTATGATAATTAATAGAATTACTCACGTGTTTGCTGCCAAAACAGTTTATTTAATGTCTAATAATGATACGAAAATCGATACAAGATAGGTTACTTACAATAATGACATTGAAAACATATCCTATTAATTTGTTGCTTTTTTTTTTCTCACAATTGTCAGATAACTAGAAAAAGGGGACAGAAATTAAGATTCAAATATCTTACTACATCATATAAAAATAAGCAGAAACAGCTTATCCTCTCTCAAAATACAACTCTTAGATCCACATGACAACAGAAGCTTTAACATGTTTTACATATTTCCATGCTCATTCCTATAATTAATTACTTCTTCATACTTATTAAACAACAGGTAATTTTGTTACTCTAGGCTACAGATTTCAGACAAGGACGAAAAACACTGAAAGAGGAAAATTAGACTAGCACTTTCGTGAACGAGGAGAATTTCCAGGGGTTGAAACTTATCTTTACTACACACATTAGATTTTGCATATACAACCACTTTCTTATGTACATGCTTACTGATCTGTATACCCAAAGTTTTCCTAACTTAATAACACACACATAAATACAAGATAAAGAAATCACAGTTATAAGTTACAATCCTCTAGTAAAGTTTTTAATCGTGCCATGAGTAAAAAAATACATGGAATGGCAGAATTAGCAAGTTTTGTGCTTGTGAAGAATACAAAAAAAAAAAAGATTCAAAAGAAAATCAATACACTTTAAAAAGGTAATTAAATTAATTTGATTAATTTGAGATTAGGAAAGCTTAAAAAAAGTTTGTAAGGTGTCAATCGTATGTTTTTATTTTCACTAAATCGGAAGACAATTTTATCTCAGCATATCACAAATTTTCAAGATAACTGAGAAGTAGCATCTTGCCACCTAGTAGTCCTTAAGAACTTCAGTCAACACACACAGTAGATTTATTCCTTGTTATAGTGGTCAAAGGCAAGGCTGTAGATAGTTTAATTTAACTCTAAGGTTCCTCCATATTGTTAATAAGACACTATTCTACGCTCAGACAAGTTTGTTAACTTATAATTCTAGATAAGGCACGACGACATGAGTCAATGCATAGATTCTTTACTCTCTTGTCAACGAATCACAAACGCTAAGTTGAACAGTGGTCAAGCTTAAATGCTTGACGACTGGACAATACAACCAAATGAAACATACGCCAGTAAATAACATCAGACCTAACGTTAATTCACAAACAATGAAAGACACCATAAACGACTGGTTAAACTCTGAAGTTGCCAGTTTTTGTGGTGATAAAAATTAAATACCTCCGCAGCAAATTTGTTTAGTGAAATATATCATACAAAAACAAAAATGCATAAAAAATTTAAAGCACTAAATTACGAATTTATATCAACAATTACGGCATAAATACCATCTCAGTTCTCGACACTATCATGTCAGCATTCCTCTCTATATATATATATACACAAAGCAAATCTTTTTATCAACTAAGTTATATAACAATCACGTGAGCAGGGATACATGAACCACATGTTCTTTCTAAGGCACCCTTCTCATTTTTTGTATAATACATCTTTCCAGGTATTTATGATGACTGTCAATAATTATATCTGGATTATATAATAAACAATGTTGTAATACATCACCTTCAAGCCAGCTAAACAAAGTTAGAACATTTCTTTTCAAATAACATTATCATATAACCTGCTTTTCTCTCTCTGGTTTTGCCATAAGATAAACTCAATGGAATCTACCACTAACACACCCTTGTGCTGTCAAATTACACCCTACACCCCTTCATCACGTATTAAAAGATGACAAAAAAACAAACAAAATCCAATACATGTCTTTACTGATTCTCTCTTCCCCAGTTTTGGGTAAAAGAAAAATCACAATATATATATATATATATATAATATAATAATATTTTGCCTTTTGTTTTGCTGTATACCATTAACATGTGTCTTCGTTTTCCCTTCTTCTTATAAAATTACTAGTAACATTATATATACTTTTCTAATTCTTTTGAATAAGAGACATTATGGGACATAATTAACCCTCTATTCACACTAACATTATGGGACATAATTAACCCTCTATTCACACTGTAACATTATGGGACATAATTAACCCTCTATTCACACTGTAACATTATGGGACATAATTAACCCTCTATTCACACTGTAACATCCATGTAACAAATCTTTGTTGTTTAATGTATATTCAAATGCTTCAATTCTGTAGTTGAATGATTTTACTTCCACGTAACAGTCTATTACAAACCATGGAATTATTTTTGTTGGTTCCTTAATCAAATAATGTTACTGCTAGATAATGTACCACTTTTATAATTTACCAAAATATATTTCACAAAAACATATTTTTGGTGTAATATAGATCACAAAGAAAACTTTTTCCCATCATATTTTCTTAATGCATACAATAGAGGGTTAAAGATTAGGAATTTAGAAGCTTAGAAATTGTCCTATTTCACCTAATGTATATGATAGCATTTCGAAAGTTATTTGCTTTTTCCCGTCATTTCTCCCTTAGACCATTAACCCCAATAAAGTTTGTTTCATTATTTTATCACACAATATCTGTACAAAGATTATCACTCATTTAAAACACCCTTTTTTCAAAGTTAAATATTGATTAGTATTCTCTTACAGTGAATTGAGGGTGTACTGTATTTAAAACTAACTTATTCTTTCCATCTAACCATCAGTCACTGTATATTCCTATTAAGTCTGCCTTAGTATTTATAAGCCAAATCATTTTCTTATCTTAAGGTTTGTTATAATAATTTACAAAAAGTTATTATAAAAACAACATGTTTTATTACAATAGCATGTATGTTAAAGATCTTATAATAAACTACTGCTTCCTTCTATAAACACTAAGGGATATATACTTTATTTCATAGATCTTGGGGTTTCAATAGTAACATCCTGTGCTATTCCATGTATATTAATATTCTTGGAATAAATCCAATTTAATTATACTGAATTTGTGAATCTTATTTTGAAATTCTATTACATCTTAAAGATTTTAAGGCTCTTCAATGACATCCTATTTCATACCATGATTCTAAGGACTTATGCAGCAATATATCATTTCACTGTATTTATTTTTAAAATCTTATTATAATGTCCTATTTCACTTCACGGATCATAAACTTCTTAGAATAATATTCCATTTCTTTCCATAGACCTTGAATTCCAATAATAACAGCATTTTATCCTACTAACCATAGGACATATTACAGCATTATCTTTCATTCCATAGATTTTTGTAATAGCTTTTTAGATCCTGTGGATAATAAGATTCCTGCAGTTAACACCACATTACATTCTTTGGATCTTGGTATTCCTAATATTATTTTTCATTCCATGGATTTAAATTTCTTACTTTGAGGTTTCTGTACAAACATTCAGTTTATCACAAATAGAAAACAAAAACAACAGTATTTGTGATTTATATGAATATGACCCATTTAACCCACGTATTAAGTCTGTGTGAACATTTAACATAGGCTTAGAGTCCACATTTTATTTGTTTAAACTTATAAAATAATAAAACCTTATGAATCAAAAACTATTCAGACTTATGAAACAAAATCCAACATATTTAGCCCAGTTTTATATCTACCAAACATTTATAGTGTAAAAACGTTTAACAGAGAATCCATGATTTGTTCTCGTATCTGGCCAATATTTTGTTCCTAACTAAAATAAATACTGTCTTTCAGTCAACTTCATGACTTGCTCCTTATTACTTTTTCAATAACTTGTATTGAAAATCTGCTTATATTATACCTGCACTGAATTGTCTGACCATATTACACAAGATCAATTGAACAATTCCCTCAAGCACTGTGGACTATCTTCAACCAGAAAAGCTATACCTTTCGAACCAGTACATGGTTAAATCTTTTAATGTTCCCAAGATAAACTATTGTGCTTGTTAATCCTGTGTTTAATATGAGAGCATAGATTAAGCTTAGGATGTAGATCACTAGTACTGTCTTAACACAAAAAAACACAACTAATAAGTTTTGCCAAAAAAAAGAAGCAAAAATATAAATTAATAATTGTATTTTCTAAATTTCTCATTTCTTTCAGAATTTGAAAGGGATTCTTTCTCCAAAGAGACTAAACATCCTACAGATATGAGTGAACTGCACTAGAAGATGATATGTATATAAGACAGCATTTACTCTCAGACTACCTCAGGCATTAATCCAAAGAAAACCGATGCTGGAGAGAGTTTTGTCACCAAAAATTCTTGCTCTAACAATTTTCTTTAATCACTAATCAGTCAATTGGAGCAGGTGTGTGTGTGTGTATAAAAATGCATGTCCTTATCGTTATATTTCAACATCAGATCTGTCCTATAGGTGGAAATTAATTATTTGGATTAGTGTTTTTTAATTTGTTATGACAAGAGTCCACCGAGTCATCATAAAACCAAAAGAGTTATACATATAATTAGTTTTTTGCTGTGGTTTCATCCCTTTAAATTACCATAAACTCTGCAATGTTATTAATAGAACAACAACTTTACTTTATTTTCAACAACTTATGTTTCATAAAATCACTATGAATGCTAAAAAAAAATATGGATACAACTATTCTACTTTAACAACTGATATCTCAGCATAAGTCATCTTAAAATGCTGATGAGTTACTGTTGTAATAATTGTTTTTAACTTGTATTTCACAAGTAACATCCCGTGACATCATCTTAAAATGGTGGGACTTATAGCTACTGTAATTGTACCACCTTTCTCTTTAACAATTTACATTTCAATAAAACAATTTAAACACTGATAAGCTGCAGATAAAATATGATTCTCCTTTGTCATTTGCTGTTGTAGGTCTTAAGTAAACTGTTTATAGTTAAACATATAACAGGAGATTAATTAGCTTTGGGGTCTAAAAGAGTATAAAAGTAGTAGATATCACTTGTACTGTAGATATCCAAGATAGGCTAATGTTAGCACTCTGGTAACATTACACAGGTAGATCTCCATAAATAAAGTAATATTAATAAAGATCTTATGTTAGCCTGAATTCTACCGCCAAAGATGACTCCATGGCTAAACAAGAAATGACATGAATGTCATTAATGATCCTTCTAACTTTTTTATGACTTGACTCAAATATTTTATTTCATACTCCCCAAATATACCAGTTATTGACTTTCCCACACAATCATAAATATCAAGTATAAATCAATCTAAGAACACAAGTATTGGTAGTGATGCACTCAATATTTTGCAACAATTGCATCATGAATAGTTAAAAGATATAGACATAAAAATAGAAAATGGCACTTGAAATATTATAAAAAAAATAAAAAATACAGACAAGAAGTGAATACAAAACAAATCAGCTGTAGTTCTCTCTGTAAAGAATTTAAACTCAAGGGAAAACTGGACTTTTTATGAATCTCTATTTTCTTTTATGGAAAGTTTCGTTTTCATGTAATAACTCACAAAAACTATTTCAGGCAAGGCAAGATACATTTTGTTTGCATTAAGTCATTCAAAATAAAAATACGGTCCTGCAAGACTCGATCACACTTAATAAAATGTATAACACTGCCTCAACCTTTCTTCTAAATGGCACATGTTTTAGTGGCCTTTGTCCTCAAAGAGGAGTCAGAAATTGTAGTGTAACCATGAATGCCAAACTACAGATAACAGCAGTGATATTACAGAAAACTCTTCCAGAAGCACTACCTTCGTCTTTTGTCTTGGGAACTTCTGTGGTACCACTACCTTTATTAGAGAAATGAAGATCTGGTTCTTTTTCCGTAGCTAGAAGAAAAGAAATATTATTAATCCTCACTGTTAATACCTTGTCACTAATTGCAATGATTTGATTAAACTAAGTAAAACACGTAAAATTAGATCTATATTTGACCTACTCATGAACTATTGAATAATGAATTAAACTTCAGAACCTATATAATCCTAATTTTTCACATAGTAAAAATATTTTTACAAAATATAAAAGTAAATTATTTCAGGTGCAGAAAATATATTAATTTCAGCATATTAAACAGTATATGTTAATAAATGTATACTGACACTTGCATACAGACTAAATGTTAGGCAACATGTTGGTTAATATATATAAAATAAGCAAGCAGATAAAAAGTTCTTCGACTGTGGTCACACACAAGCGATAACAAGCTCAAAATCACATGAATGTTTAACGTCTCTTACAACATATAACAGTTTCTAAAAGCTTACACAAGCTTATATAGTAAATGTTTGGTAACAGATAGCGCTACTAACATTTATGCCTAAATAACTGCTACGAAAAAATATGAATTCTCATCTATTGTACGGCATTTTTTATTTAACTACTTAAATGATACTGTAACGTTTATTAACGTAACGTAATTAGTTTATAATTATTATTATTACTATATAATACACCTGTTCTCTTTAATAAGAGGTGGTTGAGGGTGTGTTTGTCTGTTATTTTAAAATGATGTTCTTTCGAAATAAATCCTAGAAAAAAAACATTTAAAATATTTATGACGCTGAGTTTGTCGTACCACGTTTTAGTAAGTGGTAGTTTAATATTTCCAATACCCCCAAATAACATTTTACAAAAGTAATGAATTTGCCTGTAAATATTACAACAAAAACGTCATACATTGTAGATTACCAAGGAATACTGATAGGAAAGGAAGTAACATTACCAAAAAACCCCCAATATCGACTAAGATATACAAGCAACTATATAAACACAAAAGCTAATAGCAACAAAATTTAGGTTGGCTTTAGGGTTGTGCAAATGTTACAGCACAGTGGCGCCACCATTTGGGAGAACTCGTCTGATGAGGCCATTTATGTAAATGAGGTATGGTGTTGGAAATGTAATGCCCCCTTAGTACATTTCTTGGCTCAAACTTTTCCCTTCTTCTCTGACTTACTTTAAAAAGGCTTTAGCCATTCTAACTTCCTACTTGATTATACATGAACCATTTTAGGATAATAATTCGTTTATTTAATAAATGGGTCGAGCGTGGCCTAGTAGTTAACGTGTCGGACTGCTTATCAAAGGGCCTGGGGTTCGAGAGGAGATGCTGATAAACATGGTTCGTATTTTCAGCTGTAAACGAGTTATAAAAGTGATAGTCAATTCCATTATTAGCTTCAAAGAGCCGGACAAGCCCTTATGGTCAGTAGTTCAAAATTAGGGATGACTATACCTGATTCCTAGGGACTCTGACCTGGCCTTTTAACTCATCTTCACATAAAGTGCCCGTTCAGGTTGAAAATTAAAATTGTTTATAGTACAATTCAATCACAATCATTGAATGTGAGCCGCCCCTTTCACTATTTTGAGCTGAAGCACAGGAACCATTCGTTCGATGCAAAGGTACCCAAGCTACGTGTGGCAATACACGTCAATTCCACTTGGCGTCGGCTTCACGTATTTCACTACCGACCTCCTTACTCAGTTGAACACCATTCGCAGCATTAAGATGGAAAACTTTAAGTGGTGCCAAATTCGAGCCGGTTTTCCGGATTCCTATACATTTAAAAACGATCTTTAGGAGTCTACCCAAGTTCCTTTCCCGAATTCCACCAAATATTTTCCAGCTCCTCACAACAACTTGTGACGCCAGACAGAAACAGGAACAGTTTTGTTTTATATATCTAATAATTATAAATAGTACGATTTCTGCCGTTTGCGTATTAAGTGAAAAGTTATATGTTTTACAAGGTGTTTTAGTAAATTTGTGTTATTTTGTTATATCTATGGCATTCTAAATAAATGTAGTTTAATTTTTGTTGAAACAATAAATAACTATTATTAGTTTAATTGAAGGCACCAAATTAAAGTACTATGATTAGCATGAAATTTAAAATACTAATTATTTAGGCTTAGCGTTCTGATATCGTAGCGCTATTTAAATCTAATGAATATTTAGTCACTAACTTTACCAATTAACGTAGTAATTGGTTATACATTCTCTATTGGAAGATCTTTCTTTTTCTTAATGACAATAACAGGCACCTGTGAAACTCGACATTCTATGCGCTTTTAACAATATAATTAGGTATATCTATAAATGTCATAAACCAACAAAAATACCATATGTATAGTGGTTAAAAGTAACAACTACTTTACTACACAACAAACAACGACTCCCAACAGAATACAAAGCTTGTTTGTCTATATTAGCATAAAGCTCCACAATGAGCTATTTTCGCTGTCTGCCGCGGGGATCAGTCTCCGAATTTTAGCATTATAAGCCGTGAAGATTACTATCGAGGCTTCAAAGGACTACAATACTTAACCCATTGTAATATATTTTAACATTCTGTGGCTAGCGATCAACAACTTGAAATGTATACACCATCAAAAATTCACCCGAACAATTATTAAGTTGTTTTTTTTTTCATTATGATCACATGTAGGTAATGCATTTTAAAAGCTTACACTGATGTAGTTTCTTATATTGTTATTCACGATTATCAGTGTGGCTTGATGACAATTATGATGTTACCATTAATTGCACAAATAAAATGTAGAGGATTTCAAACACTAAAAAAATGTATAACAACCGATTATTTTATAGTAAATATTTTAGCATAGCTCATAATATACACCTACCGAAACCAACTTTAATTAAGACTTCTAATTAGACAAATAATCTAAGTTAAACAGCTGGATTCATTTTTCAGTCCGTATATGTGTATGCGAAATTCTATTTATCAAAGTCTAACAGAAAGCAGCCATAATGAAATTTCTAGGTTACTTGACATAGCTGAAAAAAACTGAGTTGATGAAAATTAACGTCAATGATAAGGTTAATAGTGGATCATATTTTTATTTAATTAGTGAACTTTTATCAATAGTTGTTATCTTCAAGATGTATCTAAAAATACAAAATAAACTTGTGCTAGAAAACATGAGTTCCATTTCCAAGAGTATTACATTAATACCCTATCAAAGTTCTGAAAGTTTTGAACCCATCTAAAATATGAGATCATCCTCACACCTATGTGTATAATAATTATTAGTATTATCGGCATTGCATGTAATACCCAATTCAATATGGGTTTACGTTGTTTGAAAGAATATTTCAGTCCTCTTCATTCTGCTTCGATGAACAATGCTGAAGTAAAATAGTGTTCTAAGGCATTATGCAATATTCGGCACAATAAAATTTAAGTAACTTGCTGTCAAAATAGTAGTGAAGCCTGCTTCCTGTGTAATGCTGCAAATATACGCTAATACTTCTTCTGCACTAAACAAATTAAGAAAACAATAATGATTCCCACTTACTACGCTATAAACAAATCGCTAATAATGACACTTCCCGTGTATAAATCAAGCTGCAAATATAGGAATGAAGCCTATTCTTCAGTGTAAAATTACAAAGATGACAATGAAACCAAGTTCTTACGTACTGAACAAGTTACAAAGTTAGTTGAAGCTTACTTCTTGCGTGCTAATAAAATGTACAAATAATATTACAGAATACTACTTCTTACGCTAATAGGTTTTACAAAGATAGTAATATTATATTCTGTATACCGGCTTTAGTGTATTTGTAACTTTCTAGCGAGATAATGAAGTGTAATGTTAACCATAGAATTGTCGGTGGGGCCCATATGGTTTGTAAGACTAGAGGGAAGGCAGCTAGTCATCACCACCTACCGCCAACTCTTGGGCTACTCTTTTACCAACGAATAGTGGGATTAACCGTCACATTATAATGCCCCCACGGCTGAAAGGGCGTGCATGTTTGGTGTGACGGGGATTCGAACCCGCGACCCTCAGGCCCATATGGATCCAATTAGTTTTTTTAAACACATTTCATACAAAACTATTTGTGCATCAATTTGCTTCTGAATCCAGGACGTTGTTGGGTATAGGATCCCTAATGACAAACACACACAAACCGTCAATATTGTATTTTTAATCCCATTAATTACTGCTGCTGTTGCTTCTATATTTACATAGAAAACGCACGAATTCACCCAATTTTTTGGTCAATTTTTTTTACACTAAGCGTTGTAAGAATAATATATATATATATATATAATTTCTCGGTATCATACAATGTGTGAACCTCATTGGTAGTGAGCGATAAACAAACATCATCTAAATAAGACGGTAATTTGAGGGTAGGTATATTTCGCAAAATTTAAGACTATCTAGATAGTCACAAAAGTTTACTTGTCACAAAATAAAATATAATAATGAGCAGAAGAACAAAATTTTTAAATCTAAAGGTAAAGCCAATGTCACCAATCCAAAGTTTAGTGGCTTAAAATCTAATTGTCCAGTAAAACTAGATTAAGACAGAGAAAACACAATTAATGAATGTCGCCAGCTGATAAAACTATTTGCCTCTATACACAAGACTTCTATGGTTATATAGATATGTATGTATAAGCATAATAACAATTTATTTTATTTTTTTAAATTCTCACAACGCAAATATCGTCTCAGCAATAAATTGATAGCATTAGGATTTAGCGTTAACAAGGACGGCGAAACAAGATTAGTAAGGAAGAAAGACAGGACGACGAGAGTGCATAAGCTCCGAAATCCAGGCGACAGAAAAGGACGGCCAGTTCTTCCGTGTACATGAAACCAAACATACCCCCAGTGTCTTCTATCGTAGAAGAGGGAGGAGTTGTGATATCGGGGCTGCCGTCACCGCTGCCTGACCCATAATCTAACGTACCCCATATGTCACCACTTCCCGAACCGTTCGTCTCATAATAGTCATAGTAGTCCTCATCGTCGACGATAGTATTATAATAGAAACCGCTGCCACTACCAGCTTCCTGGATGAACAAGGAGTCGGATTCTGGGACGGAGTCCACCTTACTGTCCAGTAACTAAACAGAAAGAAAGAAAAAAAAAGATATACGTTTCCTTCTCCTACTATCTTCTTGAACTTAACCATCTTATGGTTACTATGAGCAACGTACGGGCACAAGCAAGTTCGAAAAATAAATTATTAGTTAAATATTGATCACGTGACTCGTCATATCAATTACAACAGAAAGATCGGATTTTGGTCTACCATTCAAAAGGTTTACTTTGTCTCTAACTTAACGCATTACTACTTTTTACCTCTCTCATTTGCACATCAACTTAACAAACTGTCACCCTTCACCATCTTTCATATGCACATCAACTTAACAAACTGTCACTCTTCACCATCTTTCATTTGCACATCAACTTAACAAACTGTCACTCTTCACCATCTTTCATTTGCACATCAACTTAACAAATTGTCGCTCTTACCTCTCATATGCACACAAACTTAACAAATTGTCATTCTTCACCATCTTTCATATGCACACAAACATAACAAATTGTCACTCTTCACCATTTTTCATATGCACACAAACATAACAAATTGTCACTCTTCACCATCTTTCATGTGCACACAAACTTAACAAATTGTCACCCTTGCCTCTCTCATATGCACACAAACTTAACAAATTGTCACCCTTACCTCTTTCATATGCACACAAACTTAACAAATTGTCACTCTTCATCGTCTTTCATATGCACACAAACTTAACAAATTGTCACCCTTACCTCTCTCATATGCACTAGTTTGTCCACCAGAGAGGTGACCACTACTTCTTCTGTTCCAGCTAGAGTAATTTCTGGATTGTACTTCTGTGCTGCGACACCAATTCCAGCTATTGTTTTCTTATACCTGAAAATAATGTATAAAAAACGAATTAATATAACTGCACCACTGATTCAACACACACACATAATATACACGGATGAAAGTTTTAAAGATCTAAAAGTAAATATAAACACTATGTCAGCAAAGTTTAAAATATTGCTCAATGAGAAATCATCAATTGAAAAAAAAAGTTTATGATAATCTACATTCCTTCTTTTAAGTTGTTCCCGAAATACTGCTGTTTTTATATCCTAAAATAAACAGAAATGTTCTGCTTCTTTTCACTCTTATAATATTTAGTCTGTTAACATAACAAATATTTATGGTAGATGGAGCCACTGTATCCCACATGATGTTTAAGTGGTATATACAGTATTTTACAAAACAGCTAAAATGTAAAATAAGCCATTTTGAGTGTTGTAGGGGTACACTACGAACATCAATTATCTACTGTATTTATGATTTATGAATTATTTAAATGTGTTGAGCGATTATTATAACTTTTTACTCTTTACCTTGATGTGCGACTTTTAATTTGAGATTTTCGAATAATAAGTGATATATTCTAATATTTTAATCCTTGTTGTAGGATCTATCAAGAAATTTTAAGATGGGTCAAGATGATGTATCAATGTAACAAAAATAATTTTACTCTGTTGTTATATTTCCTTCGTGGAAGGACATGTATCATTTCCAGAATAAGACCATCTTAAAAAAAGAAAAGAAAAAATCTGCTAACAAGATGTGGAATATATTATCTTTCAAAAGAAAACTTGACTGACAATGAATAAACAAACACGTGCTAAAATAGTACAAGAACTACCACAGGTGTTGTAGGGTTTGGAGCGCGTTTGTTTTCTCTGCACTTACAGTAGTATACACACACAAGAAGACAGAAATTAATCATGTCGACGACAAACACCCCGTCTAGAGGAATTTCACAAAATAACCGTCACGAAGACGAACATTTCCAACTAAGATAAACATAGTTTAATCACGCCCAGGGCATTCACTTAACTCTGAAGAAAACTTGTGAATGTTATAAGGTAAGTTTACATGGCTAAAGAAAAAAAAAAGTTACCTTCTCACTCCTTTTGTGAAAGATTGGCTTAGGCTTGTTGATTGTTCAACGAAAAATATGTCGCATTAAACCGAATTTTCCTAAACTTTACAAAAAGCAATGCAAGTAGAACCCAAGAGAACTTGGTTTTAGTTTCATGTAAAGCTACACAGAGCGTTGGTTATCTGCGGTCGCCGTCCCTAATTTTGAATTAACAGACTAGAGAAAAGGCAGCTGATCAACAGCACCACCGCCATCACTTGGAATATTATTGTCTGGTCGAATAGAAGAGTTTCACCGTCACGACCCCAATGTGTGGAGTACGTTTTTGCGACAACGGGACGCGAATCAGACTTCAGGATCAGGCTAACGACTGGGCCACGCCCAGCCTGATGTGATCATATAGCTCAGTAAGCAATATCTATACCTTACTGAGCTTATATTATATTAATCAATTTATTAATCTACAAAATCTTCTATGTGTTGATATACAGACCCGTTTAGCCTAATTCACAGAAACATTATTTTTAACCTACAGTGCTTTTAGTGTGATGACCAGTAGGGCCTTTAATCCGTAATTCCAAAGCTTTAGCCTGTTAACCCACAGAGCCTTTAATTTGTAACTAATTCCATAGTTTTAGTCTATTGACCAACAGAACCTAATCTGTTGAGCTACAGAGCATTTAATGCGCTAACCTAGAAAGCCTTTTCTCTGTTGACCTACAAGACTTTTAGTAGTCTTCTGATCTACAAAATATTGTATATATTTCTAATGAGCCTTAGGTCTGTTAATCTGCAATCCTTGCATAAAATCACAAGGATAAAACATTTAAATATTTAAGAAATTAGTTTCAGTTAACAGATATTTGCACAGAAACTGAGAAAAATATTCTGCTCTTTTTCTTAGTATTAGTTTAATCGTATCGTATTAGCAAATACACTCATATTGATCGTAAAGTCATAAACTTCATTTTGTCACAAGCATATTTTCCATAACTTTTAGGTAAGAATAGAAACCTTTCTTTTGAATGAACATATTACTTTATCAAACTTACTACTGATTAGATAACATTACAACAATATTACTCACGACTGTACGTTACTATAGTAGCAAATAATTACATTTAATTTTATCAAGAAAAAACAAGTTTGCTCCACTGGTATATTTATTGTCTCAATATTTATTTCAAATTTAATTTGTTACAAATCTTAGATCTGTGTGTGTGTGTGACAAGTTTCCATGGTAACCTCACACAAGTAAACACAGTTATCCAGAAAACAGAATAACCCAGTTTGTAATTACACGTACGCGACGCGATAAGAACATTTACCTTTGAACAGACTTTGTTCTTACGTACACTATTTGTTCGTTAGTTTCTGAATTTCGCACAAAGCTACACGAAGGTTATCTCCGCATTGTCATTCGTAATTTTGAACTAATAGGCTATAGGGAAGGCAGCCAGTAAAGATTACCTCACTGTCAACTTTGGGGCTTCTCTTTCGAATCGAATCATAGATGTGACCGTCACTGTAATAGTGCATCCACAACTCCAAATCGTGAGGCACATTTTTGCGGTAACGGATCGCAAATCTTAAATCCCTACGCTATATGACTGGTGAAAATTATGTTCGTTGAACAAAAAAGCACCAAACCCAGAAGATAATTATGAAGTTCAATTTAGAAAAGGCTATGATAAGACAAGTTTGGCTAAACTATTTCCGCTTCAATAAGGATGGCCCGGTGTGGCCAGGTGGTTAGGGCGCTCGCATCGCACTCTGAGGGTCGCGGGTTCGATTCCCCATCCCACCAAACAAGCTCGCCCTTTCAACGGGCGGGCGGTGGGGGAGGCGTTATAATGTGACGATTCGTTGGTAAAAGAGTAGCCCAAGAGTTGGCGGTTAATGGTGATGTCTACCTGCCTTTCCTCTAATCTTTCACTGCTAAATTAGGGACGGCTAGCGCAAATAGCCCTCGTGTAGCTTTGCGCGAAATTGAAACCAATCAATAAGGGTTCTGAATATATTTATTGGCACATTCCTCAAAATTGCTAGGTGAAATCGAACCACATTTCACAATGATATCTGAGGTTTAACTGGACCACAGAGAAAAATGGATAACCTACGTTAATTTTAACGATTTTGAAAATAATCGGAACTTTCCGACTGAAAATACAACACGATGTTTTAGGTTTTAGTTATTCAGTTCAAAATATCAAAGATTAAAATATAAAAGAAAGTTTACACATTCACGAAATCAGACTTAGGCCAACCTACTGTTAACGCAGTTTTCATAAACCTAGTTCAAGCTACTGTAAACGCAAAATTTCACGATCCTAGACAAAGCTAGAGTTAAACAGCTTTCCCGAACTTGACCAAACTTCTGTTAACTCAGCTTTCACGGGCCTAGATTAATCTACTGTTAACGCAGTTTTCCCGAATCTAGACCAACCCACTATTACTGTAGCTTTTACGAACCTAGATCAAGCTACTGTTAACGTAGCTTTCACGAGCTTAGACCACGCGGTCATAATAATCGTATAACTGTTCTAAGTGTTTTACAGGCCACCGTACGGTGTGCATTTAAAAGACGATTTAAAGAGTGACAAATACAAGTTTTCAGAGAAGTTGGAGCAGTGTAAATGTGATATAGTATGTGATGATGCATGATAGCGTTTAATATGAACTCTAGAGTTAGTTACAATGACAGAAAAGCCAAATTACACACACACACACATATACATATATACATAAAAACTGATTCTGGTATCTTTTTGTTGTTGTTGTTATACGATTTCTCTTCACTAAAGGCTGTCTTCTTCTCTTCAAAAAATATTTAAATAATTGTACATATTTCTAAAAGCAAATGTACCCTGAGGAAGATCGTGTTACAATTCTTGAAACCCTGTGTATATTAATCACACGAAGGACAACAAAGAACAATCTATGACTCAATTAAGAACAGTGTGCAAACTATACGAGGCCTCGCACCTCATCTGGGGACATATGTGGGACCTTGGCTCGGCCGTTGCTCTGTCTGAGCACGTGCGTCGTCTACTTTCTCTAAAAAGTTCACTGGTAAAATACCCTTTTTCCTGGGGCACTTTGGAACATCGAATACATAAGTAAACGTGTCTGCACACCATCGACCACGCACGTTTTATTTATCAGGTTCTGCGTACGTGTAAAGTAAGTACGTAGTTGTTGAGTTACGAGAGCTTTTATTAATCCAAATGTGAAATTATTCGACCGATAAACTCAAAGAGCTTATCCAGTCATAGGAGTAACATGCATAACTAGTGGTACATACCTATAAATATAGAAAAATAAAACTATATTGAGTGCTTTGAATATTTCTGCCTATCAATGGTCTTGTTTTGTATTGTTTTACATACTGGCGCCAGATTTCTTGTATTTTCAATTGTTTTATTAAAATGTTTGGACTTAAATTCGTATTAAGCTATGTTTTACTCAATACCGTATATAATTCTGTTTTACCAAATTTGGTCCCTATGTAGCTGTTTCACCAAAAACCTTTCCGATTCGAATCCTCATATGGTCATGGTTATAAGGTTTTCCGAGTCATATCCCAATATAGTCATGTTACTAAAGTTTTCCAACTCATATCCCCATACAGTCATTTACAATCCATATCCTTATATAGGCATTTTTTACTATGGTTTTCCAACTCGTATCCCCATATAATTATATTTACTAAGGTTGCCCCCCAGTGACACAGCGATATGTCTGCGGTCTTACAACGCTAGAATCCGGGTTTCGATACCCGTAGTGGGCAGAGCACAGATAGCCCACTGTGTAGCTTTGTGCTTAATTACAAACAAACTTGCTAAGGTTTTCCAACTCAAACCTACAAAAAATCACGTTTTATCAAATATTTCCGAATCGAATTGTCATCGATGTATTAGGTCGTC